TTTGGTATTTTTAGCTTATTGAATTTTTTAAAAGTTCATGTGTTTTGGTTTTCATATTTTGTTGGTTTTTTCCTGTTTTTTTCTTCGTTTGTTTGTTGTTGTTTGCTTTTGGAGATATTAGAGAAAGTCAGAGAAGCCAGGCAGTGGTGGCACATGCCTTTAATCCCAGCACTTGGGAGGCAGAGGAAGGTGGATTTCTGAGTTTGAGGCCAGCCTGGTCTACAGAGTGAGTTCCAGGACAGCCAGGGCTACACAGAGAAACCCTGTCTCGAAAAACCAAAAAAAAAAAAAAAAAAAAGAGAAAGACAGAGAACATGAATTTTGGTGCGTAGGAAATGGAGAAAATCTATGAGGAGTTGGGGGAAAGAGGACTATAATCAAGATACATTACATAAAATTTTTAATAAAATATTAAAAATATACATTTATATATATCACTGTATAAATACATGTGTCATTTATAATTTATCAGTTATACTTTTAAAAAGTTGTCATAAGTTTGTTTGTTTGTTTTTTGAAGTAGGAGTCTGGCTATTTAGCCTTAGTGGCCTGGTCACTATATAAACCAGGCTAGCTTCAAAATCACAGAGATCTGCCTGCCTTTGCCTCCTAAGCGTTGAGATTAAAGTCCATGTACATCCAAGCCTGTCTCAATAGTTCCTAAAAACTCCTTGATGACAGTCAGAGCTACATACCTCATACAAAATAAAACAAAACAAAAACCAGCTTTAGTACTAGCCAGGTGTGGGGGCTCACATCTGTAACCTCAATACCTGGAAAGGTGCGTAAAGAGGACCGCCATGAGTACATGGCCAGCATGGTCTGCATAGTAAAGTCCGGGCTAGCCAGACCTTATCTCAGATAATCAATTACAAAATAAATGGGAAAACTAAGGCCATTGTGATGGTTCAGAGGGTAAAAGTTTGCCATTAAGCCTGACAGCCTGAGTCAGCCCCAGAGCCCACAGTAAAAGGAAAAAGTCACCCTTCAAAAATTGTCCTCTGACTATACATCTGCACTCACACACCCACAATCACTAATAACAAATGAACCAAATGTAAAAACAACAACAACAACAACAAAAACCTTGATATAAACTAACAAAATCAAGTCCCCTTAGCGCTGGGGAGAATGAGTCTAATGGAGAGAACCACAAATGGAAACCGAGACAGATCCATCAGGCCTGAGCCATCATCAGAAGTCACGTGATCATCTCACCAAAACTTAATGAAAAAACAAGGCCCTCTTGGGTCCCCTGACTGAGAAAGGGAGACTAGAGGAAAGAAAACAGCTCAGACACGGGCCTGATTTTCTATCTAAGTGCGAACTGTTTTGTGCATTGTTTGCATATATGCCTGTGCAACACACGCGAGCCTGGCCAAAACCTGTGCCTGGTTCCCTGGAATCAGAGTTGTGGTTGGTTGTGGTGTGGTGTGTGAATCATATCAGGGTCCTCTGTGAGAACAAGTGATCTTAACTGCTGAACCATCTCTCTAGTCCCTGAATGCAAAACCCTTACTAGCATTTGTTGCATGAAACTTTTCTGGCAGCGACCTGAACACGTGGCTACTCGCCCACATAGGGCACTGGCGATAGATCAAAGTAACGGTCCTCCGAAGTCCAGTTTGGTGAGCCAATGAGTTCACTGGAGTTATTTGCAGGAATATGGGTAAGGGGTTACTTACAGGAACTTGAATGGCTCAAAGCCTACCCCAGCATGGGTCAGGCTGCATGAGAACTGCGTCTGTGCATCTGTCTGCATGTGTAGGCAGCTGGGTCAGACTGTCCTCTGGTCTCTACTATGACGGGAGCTGGCCTCCTCTTCCTACCTTGTTTACATTTCTATAACCTTCAGGAGGGGCCTTGTGAAGCCTGTGAGCTTGCTTCAGCAGTCTCAAACTTAGGAGGTTTGTTGACTTTCCTGAGTCTGGGACCTCCTTCCTCCCTCCAGGAAGGAATGTTTCAATTGGAGGAAATCACCACACTATGGTATCCAAAGGTTTCTGGATAAAATGTAATCGAATGGTTTTGACATCTGATTCTTTGAGAATCAGTCTCATTGTCCTTAGGACACTGTGGTCTACATTTGCCTACTTCCCCCACCCCCACCTCGTCCCAAACAGTACTAATGTTAGCACAGCACGAAGCTAGGAGATCGCTCAGGCTGGGGATGGGGACCTGCCAGAAAATATACACCCTATGCTATTCTGACCTGGCTCCATTTCTCCTGTGAGTCAGGAGAGGTAGAAGGAAGTTCACCGGGAAAAAACTGAACGTGACAGGGAGGCCAAGTTCTTTTCTTTTGAGTGAACCTTCTAAATGCACATTCCTGAAAGTCAAGAGAAAAAGACCTACTGAGTGAGAACTTCAAGGGAGCCAGCCAGCACTGGGGAGGCAGGGGCAGATGGATTTCTTTGAGTTCAAGGCCAGCCTGGTCTACAGACTGAGTTCTAGGACAGCCAGAGAAACCCTGTCTTGAAATAGCTAGCTCTGCCAAAAAAGGAAAACAACCTAGGGAACTCTCACAGGGCCTGGGTGTTTTACCTCAGATCTACATCGGTTTTTCTCCCTTTCCTCGTTTTTTCCATGCTGTGGTTTTGGTCTTTCTCTTATTTCTGAGATGCTAAACAGTGTCCCAGGTAGCAATCCATTGTTCAACACTTTCCAAATGTCAGCTTTTACTATGGTCACAGCTTTTCATCAGCACTGTCCTGAGCCTTGGTTGCAGATGTCCTTCCTAGGAGCCAGAGATGAAATTAACACTGCTTAATTGGCCTCCTCTTGGCCTCCTCTTGGCTGCTTCTTCTGGAACCCAGATTTTGTGCATGTTATGAAAGAGCCCTGTGGAAGAACTACATCCTCAGACCCTGCCAACACACCTATATTCTTGGTCTATAAAACAGGGCAATTTTTTGAGTGGTGCCCTATTCCAATCATGCAAAAGAACTTGAGTTTGGAGTGTTAGAATCTAATAAAGCCTTGATGCCAAGATGGGTAAAAATTGGCTAGCAACCTTGGCAGAATTTCTCAGCCAGCCATCTGCCTAGGAATGACCTTGTTATCAAGGCCAATACCAAAAGCCACCCCGGATGCAAGACAGCAATGGGACTCTCTGGGAAACAAGGCTGGTTATTTCACCCTAGACCCCTCACACTGCACTGTAAAGGAACTGTCTTTGCTTCTTCCTTCCTACCCAATTGGGACTTCCGTTCCACTTTGTTTCTTGGGAATTTGGGGTGAGGAAGGCTAAGGAATGCATAGCAGGCACAGACTTGTGCTCCTGAGCACAGAGGGAGATGGAGAAGGATAGGCGGGGCTAGGAAGAGGTCTGCCAACACAAATGTCCTATGGGGACTTGGCAGTTTTGCCAGGAGGTTGGCAGGGATGTGCCCTTGTCTAAAGAAGGTACCTGGTTCCCCTGCTCAGGGCTGAGGAATCTGGAGTCATGGGAAAGGGCAGGGAAGGTATAGAATTCGAAAGAACTAGGCTGATGCCCAGGGACTACTGGAATTTCCCAAGACAGAGGAGGCAAGAGTTGAGAACCGGGGCTGGAGAGATGGCTCAGTGGTTAAGAGCACTGACTACTCTTCCAGAGGTCCTGAGTTCAATTCCCAGAAACCACATGGTGGCTCACAACTATCTGTAATGGGATCTGATGCCTTCTTCTTGTGTGTCTGAAAACAGCGACAGTATACTCAAATACATAAAAAATAAATAAATAAATCTTTAAAAAAAAAGAGTTGAGAACCTGAAGGGCCCTCACAGGAAAAGGGGTAGGTGGAGGTGAATTTACCCCAACTCTATTCAGTTTCTGATGACCATGCTGGGTAGAAGGGATACTCTGATGTCTGGGGTCAAAGGTGAATAGGGAGCCAAGCCTTGAGAATCCCAGCCTACCAAATTCACTGTACCATCAGCCCACAGGTTGTGGGTATCTGATCAGTTCACAGAAGACTTAAGACACATTAGGGCAGTAGGAAGCACTTGTGCAATACTCCATTCTAGCAACACACCAAGCTACTGGCCGTCACCTTCCCTATCTCAGCGTCACACAGCCACTGAGGTCCACCCCCTACTTAGGCTTCTCTGATTTTTTTCACTTTCTCTAAGGCCCCAGCTGGATTGGACAACCGTCTGTGTGCTTCCGAGATCGAGCCACATGCCTGCCCTTGTGTGACATACCATTGTGTTGTCATTTTTGGCTCAACATCTCCATCTCTCCAACCATCTGTAATCCTGGAACAGGAAGTGTTCTTGCTCTGTCATGGCCAGGTCAAAGGCTCTCACTGAGGAGACAGATGCTCACATACCTGCAAAGATCACTCCAGCAGTGAGTAGACCCTTAGGCACCAGGGTCAAGAGAACCTTATACTGTGCACCTCGAACCCATCGGGAACACTTTGCCACCCTCCTACCCACTCTGCCCTGTCTCCCAGGAAGCTGCCAAGAATGGTCATTCCAACTGGCAGAGGGGTGAGCTTTCCTTCCTGGAAGGATTCTTGGCTAGACAACTAGCCCTTGTTTCTAAGTTGCTGGGGACATGCAAGGGGGGAGAAGTTGAGTCAGCCTTAGCCTTCTGTTTCCCAAAGCCTGTGTTGTCTACCTCTTATCTCCCACAAGCACATCTGGCAGAGAGCAGATTTCTCCAATCCTGGGTAGAGATAAGGGGTTGGACTGGCTACAGCCTCTGGCCACATGGCCTCTGGCTCCAACTCATCAACACAAAGCTATAGTTGACTAGCCTGAAGCAGGACAAGGGTAGGCCCAGGCCTGGTATGAAGAGGAAGGCATGCTTAGTATGTGTACGATCAGTTCCCAGAACCAACACACATTTGTAAGGACCCAGGCTGAAAAACACTCCATACCCCATCCCACTCCCCTTTTAGGTAGGAATGGCTACTGCACAGCCCGCCCCCTACCCAGGAGTAACAGCCAGTTACAGTTTCTTTATTTTCCTTTTAATTTTTCTGAAGGATACACACCACATATCCCATGGGCAGTAAAGCGCATTCAATGTGTTTATAAGCCAAACAAGTCACTTTGTTTAAGCAAACACAAGTACAAAGTAAAATAAAACCACAAAATAATGAACTTCATGTTCAGAACATACAAAAATTGCCGCCTACTCAGTAGGTAACTACAACACTCCAACTCCTGAATATATGTATAAATTTACATTTTCAGTTAAAAAAATAGACTTTTGAGAGTTCAGATTTTTGTTTTAAATTTTTTTTCTTCTTACATTCTGGAGAACCAAAGCTCAGCTCAGCCCTCTTCCTCATTTTGCTCTCAAAGCCTCCCCCAAAACATCACTCCTACCCCCTTAAGGCTAGAGGTGAGCATGTCCCTCACAATTGCACATGTCAAGCCATCGGCAAGGCGTGTCACACAAAAGGCACCAAGACGTGAAACTTTTGAAACCAAAGGGACGGGTAAAATTTTTTTTCAAAAATAAAACAAAAACAAAAAACCCCACCAAACAAACCATACTTTGTCACATGTGAGAGTTACAGTCGAGCAGTATTTACAAAAGTAACGGAACAACACTCTGACACATGCTGCAGTTAATACCTAGGACTGCTGCTTCAAAAAAAAAAAAGCTTCAAACCTAATGTCACAGCAGAATCATCACAAAATAGAGGATCACCATTGGTTTGCTTGGCTTTGCTCCCCCCTCCCCCAAAGTGAGGATTTAACTCCAAATAATACAATAGAGTATGCAAATTATCTTCACATCAAGAATACCCCAAGGAAAACAAAATCCATGGCAGACGCTGTACAAAGATACAGGGCAGGGTTCTGAGGGCCCACACCCATTTTTGCCAACTTGATGGTCTAGCGCTGAAGGGAGCAAGGGCCAGGCATATGATGGAGAGGATACTGAAACGATTTATCCAATACCATGCAAATCAAGTCCTTTGGATAGAGGAGAAGAACTGGGACAAGGCTGTTTCAGGCAGCTGAAGTCAAAGGGAACAGGACCGGGGAGGCGGGGATGGTAAGTGAAAGGGCTAATGGCCAACGGACCTTCTACTCGTGACTAGAAGGCCTTGGCTCCAAGATCTTCCATCTGACCTAAGAGGCGGGCTCTGACGGACATCTCTTCCTTCCTGTCCTTTAAGTCTTTCGTGCCCCCTCCCCTTGCTTTCCTATTCCCTTTAGCAAATTTCAATTGTCCTGGGAGAAAAGGTTGCTGTCATGTCTGAAAGCCCCGATGAGGTGCTGAAGGAGTTGCTGCCACCTGCGGACGGGAAGCTGCTAACCTGGGTGGGGAAAGCAGGTGGAACCGAGGCATAGGTGGTGGCCACCGAGGGCGACGGGAAGCCACTGTGCGCAGGAGAAGGGTAGGTAGAGGAGCCGGGAGAGGAGTAAGAGGTGGGCACAGGAGATGGAAATGAGGTGGTGGCAGGGGATGGGTAGGAGGTAGCCACTGGGGACGGGTAGGAAGAGAGAGAAGAGGCAGCCGAAGAGGCCACGACACTTTTGTCTGCTTTCTTGTCCTTCTGTCTTAAGTGGATTTTGGTATGCCTCTTGCGTTCATCACTCCTGGCAAACTTTCTTCCACAAATGTCACAGGCAAAAGGCTTCTCGCCTGTGTGGGTGCGGATGTGGGTGGTAAGGTGGTCACTACGACTGAAGTTACGCATGCAGATTCGACACTGGAAGGGTTTCTGGCCTGTGTGGATGCGGATGTGGCGGGTAAGCTCGTCCGAGCGAGAAAAGCGGCGGTCGCAGGACTCGACAGGGCAAGCATACGGCCGTTCATGGGGGGGTGTCTTGCTGGGCCGGTTGGGGTACTTGCGCATGCGGCTGGGTTTGATGAGTTGGGACTGGTAGGTGGTATTAAGGGCCTTTAAGTCTTGGGAGCCCGACTGAGTAGCGAAGGCTTTAATAGTGGATAGTGGAGTAAGCGAAGGCTGCTGGGTACGGTTCTCCAGACCCTGGAAGGGCTTCTGGTCTGGGGTGCCCAGGCTCAGGTCTCCCTGTTGTTGTGGAAACAGATAGTCAGGGATCATGGGAACCTGGAAACCACCCTTGGTGGCAGGGTAGGCAGGAGGCGGGTACTGCAAGGCTGTGCCTGCCGAGCCGGGAAAGGCCTGGCTTTGGGGCTCAGGAAAAATGTCAGCGTTGGGAGTAGGAAAAGTGGGCGCAGCTGAGTAAATGGGACTGCTGTCGTTGGATGGCACGGCACAGCTCAGGGGTGGGCTCTGGGAGGCAGAGGAAGACGATGAAGCAGCTGGAGAAGGCGCTGAGGATGAAGAGGTCGGAGGGTTGGTCATGCTCACGAGGCCACTAACTAGGCTGAAAAGGGGTTCAGGCCACAACGTGTTGCCACTGTTGGGTGCAGGCTCCAGGGAGAAGCGGCCAGTATAGGTGATGGGAGGCAACCGAGTAGTTTGGCTGGGATAACTCGTCTCCACCATCGCCTTCTCATTATTCAGAGCGATGTCAGAAAAGGACTCTGGTAGGAAAGAGAACAGAGAGGCCTGGTTACTGGACAGCAATCACTGGACGATGAGAACCGAAGCGGCCAGGCAAGAGGTCGCCCGGCTACCACTGACTCTGGATGTGGTTAATAATTGATAGCAGCAGATTGCAATGTTCCTGGACCTGCTCCAGTGGCAGAGCCCATTTCAACAGCTGACGCAAACAGAGAATCCCCCCTCTACTGCGGCTCCGGGAGCGCTCCGCAGCGAGGCTGCGCGGGCGAGGGAATCCCGCCAGCACCCTAGTGGCCACAGCTAATGCGCGCCCCCTACCCTGGGCGGCGGGTCATCCCTGCTCACAGATTTCAGCCCTTCCTTGGGAACAAGCTGCAAGCAAGGCGGCAGCCCCGCGCGCGCGGGGGAGGGGGCAACCCTGCTCATCAAAACAAACCCTCCCCCCCCCTCCAGCCACCCACGCAGCTTGAGCTCTCTATCCAAAACAAACGGTCTGTCCTCCGCGCACTCGCAAGGATGGAGGGTTGGGGGTGTCCCCAGACATCCCTCTAACACAAGACCCTGGAGCTGTGTAGAATAGAGGGAAATCCCAGTCCCATCCCTAAGGTCTAGATGCAGATCCGTGCAGGAAAGAACTGGACGTTAGGGTCGAAGGGACGAAGGGGGATTCAGCCTCGGCGCAGACCACCCCTTACCTGTGGTCAGGTGCTCATAGGGTTGTTCGCTCGGCTCCCCTTGAGGATTGAAGGCGCTGCTGCCGCTGTTGCTGCCGCCCCCACCACCGCCCCCGCTGCTGCTGCTACTGCTGCTGCTATTGCCGCCGCTGCCCTCTGGGGTTCCGGCAGCACCGAGGAACTGGGGAGCCCCGTTGCTCAGCAGCATCATCTCCTCCAGTTTGGGGTAGTTGTCCATGGTGGGTGAGTGAGGAAAGGAGCCGAACGGGTCAGAGATCTGCAGCGGAGACATCAACTGCATCTCGGCCTTGGCCGCTGCCATCCCGGACGAGCGAGCTGGAGAGCTGATGTTGGGTGGTGGGCACAGCCTGAGGCCGAAGCTACTGAGGGCACACTCGCCGGGGGTTGGCCGGGTTACATGCGGGATGCAGGGGCACACTGCGGGGAGTGTAGGTGGGCCCCCAGGCTGGCGGTGGCCGCGGCCCGTGGTGGACGCAGGGCTGCCGCGGAGGCTGGGGCAGGGGCCGATCTTGCGGCGGCGGAAGACGGCGGCGGCGGCGGCGAATCGCGGCAGCGGCTCCCCAAGTTCTGCGCGCTGGGATCTCTCGCGACTCCCCGAATCGGCCTCTATTTCAAGGGTCTGGAACAACACGGGCCCGCCTCCGCCGTGACGTACATGGCCATATATGGAAAGCAGGAAGCCCTAATATGGAAGGACCGGCCGGGAGGACCCGGAGTGACGTGAAGCCCTCCCATCCAAGAGCGGTGGGCACCTCCACCCTGCGACCCGCTCCGGCACCTCGAGTGCTCAGACTCCTGGAAAACCTAGTATTGGAACGGCAGCAGTGGCCTCCCGGGCCAGGCGCCTGGAGTTCCCAGCTTGCCCCCGCCCCAACCCCCGCTCGCCCCGCCTCCCAGAGCCGGAAGCGGCAGGGCCATATTGGGCCACTCCATAAAAGGCGCTGCCCAAATAAGGTCTGTTCCGGCGGGGGATCCTTCCTGCTCCTTATATGGCGTTTCCGGGTCGGCGCATTCCCCCACCCTCCCCCTCCTTGGTTCCCAAACGGGAGCCTGAACGCGCGCAGGAGTCGGGGACGCCCGCGTGGGGAGGGCGCCAGGCGCGTAGAGCTGGGCGCGCGCCGGCTCCGACGGCCCCCGGGTGCGAGCTGGGCTGGGGAAGCCCAGGCCCGGCGCGGGGGCGAGGGCGAGTCAGGCCCGGGTTCTACAGCCGTCATCCTGGGCTCACCCGCCCACCTCGGGGACCGTGGGAGCGAGCCTGAGGAGAGGAGGAGCGGCTGGGCGGGCTGGGGCAGAGGCCGCCCAGGAGAGGCGGGGCCCTGACCCGAGCCTCTAATAATGGCAGGGTCACTTTCCAGGTGTCACCCGGGAAAACTCAGGCCAAGACATTTGGCTACTGGTTCTTGGGACACTGCCTAGCAAGCAGTCGGGTGCATACTCGGCCATCAGTCAGTAGGTTGGGGTTTTAGAGCCTGGGGCTCCCAATGCGCCACCCGGAATCGAAAGGCTATTCCCTCCGCGCTGCGGCTGAGGAACCCACCTTTGGGGACCTGGATTGCGGAACCCTGATTGCCCTAGGACAGTCCTGAGTCCCCGCCAGGAGCTGTTGGTTCTTGTGAGAGTTGGGCACGTCCTGACTTTTATCCAGTCCAGCGACTGGTCGGGCGGACTCTGCCCTGTCCTAAAGAGGGGGGCTTTGCTTTGGGCAGTCTGGCGACTCCAGGCTTGCGGTGCCGAGGACGCGATTACGGCTCGGTGCTGCCCTCTGGAGGTCTCTGGAATGGGGGGGCCCCAAGCGCAGCGGGCTCTTCCGTCGCCTCCACGTTCCCCCTCCCGTAGTCTGGGCTGGGCGCGGAGCCAGGCCGGGAGAGCCTTAGACGCAGTGAGGGAGAACTGAGCAAGCGCGGCAGCCTGGGCCTTCCCCGCAGTCCCGAGGGAACCGCCACTGCCAAGGCGCCCAGAATTCAGGGTAACACTTCCTTCACAGAGCCAAGCCAAGGGCAGGGAACGGCGGGGGTCGTGGGGGAGGGGTTGATGGCAGAGCGATCCCTCGGGTCTCCCGGGACCCTGACGTAAGCAGTGAAGCCCTATCTCCAAAGCAACCCAAAGGGAGAAGGGATTCCCGGAAGGAAAGGCTCTTGTTTCCAACTTTGAATCCGAGGAAGGTGCTGTTATTTTAATTTTATTTTTTATGTAAAAAGAAAGCAATTAGTGCTTGTGTGGAAGGAGAGTGAGAGACAGAAGAAGGAAGATCAGAGTCGTCAGGGTTAATGGGGAGGTTACTAGGCTCTCTCTCTCTCTCTCTCTCTCTCTCTCTCTCTCTCTCTCTCTCTCAACACCCCTCTCCACCTTCGCTTTGTTAAAAACAACAACTTAAGGAATCGAGAAATGAACCAGGGTTCTCTTATATTTGAGCTCACAATCCTAAATTCTTTGGTTGTTACTAACTTAGGAGCCATTAATGTGCCTTCCATAGCCGCCCCCCCCCCCCGGGCAGGGCAGGCAGGGCAGGTGCTTCCTGTGTGAGTGCCTATTTTGCTACTCTGCTGCGATTCTCTGACCAAACCTTCTGTGTCTCACCTGCTCTAGTTGTAAACTAAGGCTAATGTTATCTGTTTTCTTTTGAAGGATTGTTTGTTCAGATGGAAATTTACACTGCTTGCTACCCGTGACTCCCAAATGCTGAGCTTGTGTTGCAGACACTAAGCACGGAGTAAACAAACAGGGTGGGGTATTGTTACTTTTGCCCACTCAACCTCACTCAGCCTTCAAGAAAACCCAATGGGGCTGGAAAACTCAGTTGATAGGGAGCTTGGTGAACCTGCCCTGTGTTGGTAATACCAGTATTTAGGAAGTTCAGGTAAGAGGTTCAAGGCTGTCCTTGGCTACTTGGCACTTTTGAAGTCAGCTTGGGCTATATGAGATAGCATCTTTTTGAAAAAGAGAAAAGGAAACAAATAGATTCCAAAACAACAAAAAACTGTGCAGAGAGAAGCATCCCAGTTCTAACACAAAAGGCCAGCCATAATAGCGGGATCAGTATCCCTTTAAAAAAAATCATTATTTTATGGGTATGAGGGTTTTGCCAATGTGTAGGTGGGTGCACCATCTCTGTGCAGTGCCCATGGAGTCTAAAAGCAGGCACCAGATCTCCTGAATCTGTGGTTACAGAAGGTTGTGAGCCTTCCTGTGATTGCTGGGAATCAAACCCAGATCCTCTCCGCAGAGGAGCCTTGCTCTTAACCACTAAGCCGTCTGTCTCTCCAGCCCCTAAGCTGTAGAAAGCTCTTATGGAGCGAATCATGGAACTGGGAAGGCAGCTCAGCTGAGAAGGCAGCTCAGCAAGGGTCCTGTCTTACCTACCTTTAGATCATTTCTTGGACTCTGAAAGAACTGTACTGTGCCTCCCCATCAGGGGTTGGTCTGGTGATGCTATGTATTCAAATGCTAAATTCTTCTGTACCCCAAGATCTGGTTGCCCAAGAGGAACCTAACACCAGCTTTTGTTGGGAAAAAAAATTAAAACTTGTTGCTCCCCAATTTAAAACTGTGATAAATAAAAGTTACTGACAGCCAATTACTGGGTAGAGTAAAGGTAGGCTGGGCTTCAGAGGTGGGGAGAAGGGAGGGGTCTGTAGGTAGGGAACACATGAAAGAGAAGGAGGAAGGAGAAGCAGAGTGTGGCTGGTGGAGTGGGTCCAGCACAGACAACTGATTGGCAGGTGACTTGGGGAGTACAAATAGTTTAGGGATAATTGCCCAGTAATTGTGCTAAAGCCATTCAAATAAACCCATAGGTTTCTGTCTCGATTACTGGGCACTGGCCAGGTCACATTAAGAACAGTTATTAATGTCATATGCACCTCCTCCCGTGAACAGACAAAGAAGTTGTCCCATGAATCTAATGTGAAAGTCTACCTGAGGTATCTGCACGTGTGGGTCTTCTGTGTATCTAGCACCTGTTATTTTTGAAATATTCCTCAGCCAACAATTCCTTCTGAGGAGCTACCATCACTCCTGAGGTTGTGGGGAAGATAACTGCACTCTAAAATCTTAAGTGTAGATCTGTAACCCAGGCCTGGCCATCCATATAGGACCCTCTACACTAGAAGCATTCTGTTTCTTGTAGTGATTACTATAGGATGGGCACATGACCCAAACCAGGCCAATGAAGATTACTTCTGGGACTTTCTCTTCAACTCTTTTTTTTTTTTTTTTTTTTTTTTTTTTGGTTTTTTCGAGACAGGGTTTCTCTGTGTAGCCCTGGCTGTCCTGGAACTCACTCTGTAGACCAGGCTGGCCTCAAACTCAGAAATCCACCTGCCTCTGCCTGCCGAGTGCTGGGATTAAAGGCATGTGCCACCACTGCCCGGCTTCTCTTCAACTCTTAAGAAAGATCCAAAGCCAATGGAACGTGATGCCGGAGTCTGCTTTGCTCTCAGGATTGGTGAGCCTGTTGAGAATGAAGCCAGTGGTAGGAAATCAGAGAAGAGAGATTTCCACACCCAGAGTTGGCTTTTGATTCAGTCTGGGCTCCTTTACACAAGTCAACGGATTCCTGTCTCAGCCTTTTCTGTTATTGGTAACACAAGAGATTCTAATTGGGTTGGGGATTTAGCAGGGGTTGGGGATTTAGCTCAGTGGTAGAGCACTTGCCTAGCAAGCGCAAGGCCCTGGGTTCTAGTCCTCTGCTTGAGAGAGAGAGAGAGAGAGAGAGAGAGAGAGAGAGAGAGAGAGAGAGGAGAGAGAGATTGATTCTAATTAATGCACCCTTCTCAACTGAGTTCCAAGCTTCTGTGAGGAGCTGCTGTGGGTAAGGCCTGTGGTGGAGACCCCCCAGCCCCTCTCAGATGCTTACTGTTAGGTAAAAGTAAGCCTGGATTCTTTTATAAACAAACTAAGAATAAGAAGAAAGCAATCTCTTAGCTACCAAATGTCAGCAGCAGCAGGGGACTTAGGAGGTAAAAGTGTGGAGAGGAGCTTGCACCTTGGTGACTCGCACCTGGCAGAGGTACAGGATTGTCACCATTTCAGGTCACCAGCCTGGGCTACATAACACTGTCTCGAAAAAGCAAAACAAGACTTTAAAAGGAGAAGGAGATTCCAAGGAGTTAGATTGACAGACAATAGGAGGATCTTGGAAGAGGAAGAACATGGAGGACTGTACTTTCTAGTGAGGGTGTGAGAGTCTTCTCTGCCCAGCTGGCAGTTGGGTGGCCTGAAGGGCCCTCATCTAACCAGCTGGTGAAATGACACTGGAGCATGAGAGAACGCCCGGAGTAGAGAGGATCGCAGAGTATTAGAAAGGTTTATTTTACCAAATAAATTTTTTTTCTTTTCTCTTTTCGTTTTTAGGAAGGGTCTCACTGTGTAGTCCATGCTGGCCACAAACTTGTGATCTTCCAGCCCTGCTCATCCTTCTGAGTATTAGCTGAACCCATTATTTAAACAAACAAACAAACAAACAAACAAACATTTGGGCCAGTTTGCTGGTGCACATGGCTAGTCCCAGCACTGAGGAGACAGACAGGAAAGAAGGTCTCCGTGAGTGTGACCAACCTGATCTGCACGCTGAGCTCCAGACCAGCCATAGCAATGGTGAGGTAGAGAAGTAATGATGTAATGATAACCTGCCTCTCTCTCTCTCTCTCTCTCTCTCTCTCTCTCTCTCTCTCTCTCTCTCTCTCCCCTCTCAAAACAATAATAATAATAACAACAACAATAGTAATAAAAAGAGGCTGAGACAGGAAGAGTGCCATGTGTTGCAGGCCAGCCTGGGCTACAGAACTAAGACTGTTTCAAACAGCCGGGCGATGGTGGCAATGCCTTTAATCCCAGCACTTGGGAGGCAGAGGCAGGCGGATTTCTGAGTTCGAGAGTTTGAAGCTAGCCTGGTCTAGAGCGTGAGTTCCAGGACAGCCAGGGCTACACAGAGAAACCCTGTCTAGGGGAAAAAAAAAAAAAGACTATTTCAAAGAAACAAAAAATCCACTCTGCATAGAAGGAGTCTCAGGGTCAGAGTGGGGACCCCAGGAAGAAAGACAACACAGCAAAGACCTCAAGAGGAATGGGTAGGAACACGATTGGTCTAAAACCTCCAGCTAAGACAGAGGCCAAAACTGTACCCAGCTGTATGCCCACTCTAATTCTTTACTTGGTTTCATGATTCACAGACAAAAAAGCCTCTTGACCTTGTCTAGTCTCCTTGGTTTAATCCACTAGAAGGCAGATTCTGCCCAGGAACAGTGAAGAAGGTCTGACATGCACTCTTAGAGAGGGTTGTGTTGCTAGCCCAACATCTCAGCAGCAAGGCTAGGAGCATCTGAGCATCCTCACCCTCAGTGGATCTATTCTATAGCCAGTGGCACACTTCTGTTTGCTGTGATTAGGGGTCAGGGGGACGATGATGACACGGGTGGGGGGGGAATTGGTTCCTCCCAAGGAGCCAAGTCACAATTTGGGTTTGTGAAGACTCTCCAGTGTATACAAACTCAGATGGAGAAATGTCCTGAGGCCTATCAAAAGGCAGACTTCATGGGCCTGCAGGGATGTTGGGCCCCAAAGAATCCTCAGGAATGACCTGAGAGTCTAGGGTCTTGGTGGCCAGGTGACAAATGGCAGAGGCCAGGAGAACCAGGATACTGAGTCTCCACTGGAGAGCAGGTGCAGCAGGCCGTCTTGACTACTAAACCTAAGGCCAGGCGAGCTGCAGCTCTCAGAGGAAAGCAAGCCCCCTTTCCATTGCCACTTCCTCCTCACAGAGCTAGATTGCGTCAGCACCCACATGTGCTGCTCAGGTCGTGGTTTGCCACTTCTGTGGCTAGCCTAGGGCTCAGGAAGTGACTCTCTTTTAGGTTCTGTCTGGGTTGCCCGTCACACTTTCCGATGGCTGAGGGCCCCCAACGGAAACCTAGACAACTTGGCCTGGAATGCTTTTGTGTACAGCTTCGCTCCCACCCATGGAGGACTTTGAGAGATGAGAAGAAGCCTGAAGAGGCCACACATGAGGTGGGAAATAAGTCGGGGACAAATGGGGAGTCATGGGAAAAGACAGGTTCCTGAGAGAGAGGATTATCCTGGTGTGGAGGTGCAAAACCACCCCCTCTTTGAAACCCCTGAGACCTAGGCTAGGTGGGAAGGGCCACGCAGAGTGGTGCTGAGGCCTGGAGCAGATCGAATAGCAGTCTGAGAGGGTCCCTCATGGGCTGGGGTGTAGCTCAGTGGTAGAGAACTTTTCTAGTATGTTTGATGCCCCAAGTTAGATTCCCACCAACACACACACATACACGTGCGCGTACACACACACACACACACACACACACACGATAGGGAATTTGACACTAGGTACATCTTGTCTAAGGTAGTTGTGGTCTGAGCGACGTGAATAAACGTCCTCAGAGCCCTACAGAGAGTTGAGCCAGACTGTGTTAGGTTAGGCTTAAAGTGGAAGCAACGGAGGTATACAGAGTTGGTGGAGGTTCTACAGTCTGTACCTTAAGGAGGTAAAGGGAGGAGGCAGCTGACTATCTAGACAGGCTGTCAGGCTCTTTCTTATCACAGGTTGCTATGCAGAGACTGAAAGAGGCTGCAGTCCTTGGACCTCAGTCCCTCTCTGTACAGCCCTCTCCTGGATATGAATCTGTGAGACACTAGGCTCAGAGGACACCCCATCCTGTGGTGTTCTCTCCCCACCCCCAGCTGCGTGTGCAGCAAAGCCGGCTGCAGAAATCTCTGGAAGCTCCCTGGGCAGGAGAGGGAGGGGGGTTGTTACATAAGAGCCCTAGTGATGAGCAGGAAGTCGAAGCAGCCTTTACATTCAAAAAGCAGCGTTTCCACCCAGCCCAGAAAGGCAGGAATAGAAACGGGCTATTTCTGGCCCCTCACCACCGCCCAGCGCCAGGCTGCTCAGCTTCTCGGTGGGTAAGCTTGCCTTCTGAAGACCTGCCAGGAGGGAGAAGGAGGAACAGGCACCTTCTGGGGTTACCTGATTCAGAACCGTCCTCAGCTACCCCACTCTAACAAACCCGAGAATGCCAAAAAGTGGTAGTGTCAGGGTGCTTGCTTCCTCCGGCTTCCCTTAATCTCTGGGAGATGTCTTTTCCCATGCTCGCCCCCCACCCCCACCCCCAGCACACATTTACTTTGTGACAGGCTTTGGGCTCAGTGCTTCCAAGCGTCTTTCCTCACAATGCCTTCTGAGGTAGGTCTCTGTCTCAGCCTCATTTCATTGATGGGGAACGATGCCCAGAGAGGGCAGGTAACTTGTTCAAGGTCACAGAGCTGGTCAGAGGTAGAACCGGGTTTCTATTCAAAATGGTCCAGCTTCAGAACCCTTTGCCTAAACCTTGGCTTTTATCTGTTCTCTGATGTCCCCAGCTTTCCCTATGCAGTTCTTGGGTAGGTTGGAAATAGGAGACAGACAGACAGACAGACAGACAGACAGGTCAATTCTATTCATGTCATATTTACTGACCAAACATGTCTGCTCTACGATATAAATAAAGCAAAGAGACTCCTCCTATCCTGCTGTTGCTGCTGCACAGCCTGGTGGAGACAGATATGCAAAGGAGCAGTAGTAAGCCGGATGTAGTGGCCCAGGTCTGTGATCCCAGCACTTAGGAGGTCTAGACAGGAGGGTCAGGGGCTCAAGCTCATCCTCAACTACATAGGGAATTTAAGGGTAGTCTGGGAAACTCAAAAATCTGTTTCCCTCCAATCCAGGTGCAGAGGGTCCTCATGGTGGTGCAGTACGCATGCCTTGAAGCTGACATTGGACATCCAGCTGACTTTTGCTGACTCAAAAATTTAAAGGAATGGAAAGAGAAAAGAACAATGGCAGCAGTATGACATCACCTCTCATGGACAGCAGTATGACCTCATCTCTCACGGAGCCCAGTATGACACCTTCTCTCATAGGGAAACACAGCTAGTCCTTGATCTGTCTCCCATCTCCTCACACACACCCCAGCCTGTCAGGGAGTCAAGTCACCATTTATAAAAATCACAAGAAGAGGCAGGATGTGATGACACCCATCCAAAATCCCAGTGCTCGGGAGGCAGAGACCAGAGGGTCAGCCACAAATTGGAGACCAGCTTGATTTACAAAGTGAGACTCTGGCCAGGCACTGGTGACGCACGCCTTTAATCCCAGGACTTGGGAGGCAGAGGCAGGCGGATTTCTGAGTTCGAGGCCAGGCTGGTCTACAGAGTGAGTTCCAGGACAGCCAGGGCTACACAGAGAAACCCTGTCTTAAACAACCAAAAAAAAAAAAAAAAAAAAAAAAAAAAAAAAAAAAAAAAAGAAAAAACCAAACAAACAAAGTGAGACTCTGTCAAAAACAAAACAAAATATTCTATGTAAACAAAACAAAAAATAAAAGAATGTTAAGCACAGGGGCTGAGTCCAAGGAGGGAGTGCTGTCATCCTAGACAGGGCTTCTGTGAGTGTCTGCTGTTTCTGGGGCTCCCACAGGCAACATCCACTCCAAGGCAAAAAGACATTGCAGGCAATGGACAACCAAATTCACTGAGAGGCAGCTTAGCCCATAGGGCCATCTACTTTTCTTGGCATGGTGACAATATGATGACTGGGACACTGGGTAGAAGAGACTGTCCTTTTTCTTTCCCCAGCCATTTTCCTATTTGCTGTCTCCATATAGAAATCCAGATTCCCCGTTTCCTCAACATGAGCTGTACAGGGGAAGCGGTACCTCACACCAGGAGAAGAGCTTCCTGCAGGTGGTCACACCAACAAGGCTAACTGCTGTCCTTAGAGTATGCAGGGGGGCTCTGCCTTACTCTGTGCACAGACAGCACTGCTGTTCCTACACACAGGCAGAGGGGGTCTTTGGGACTTAGAGGACTCAGTTTCCATCCAATGGGAGGGCAGAGGGTCGTCATGGCAGCATGCATGCTTGCCTCAAAGCTGACAGTGGACTCAGTTTCCATCCAATGCAGGGCAGAGGGTTATCATGGCAGCATGCATATCTCAAAGCTGATGCTGGACTCAGGGTAAAATGTTCACTTAAATAGAACACATGAGGACCTCTAGGGCTATGTAGAAAGACCTTGTCTCAAAAAAAAATGTGGGAAAATACTGTATACTTAAATTTTATCATTTTAACCTCTTTAATTATATGTATAATCCAAGGACATTAATTACATTCAGGATCAACTATACACTTCCAGAACTTCTGAATCCTTCCAAACAGAAAAGTCTACACCCATTAAACAATGATTCTGTCCATTCTCCCACCTCCTGTGGCCTGTCTCCCTTTGCAGTCTCATGTAAGGCTAACACTCTCTGTAGTCTTTGGTGTCTGATTTATTTCTCTTGGCATAATGTTTTCATGGACTGGTTTTTTCCTTTTATGTTTTTTTTTTCAGATAGTGTGTGTGTGTGTGTGTATGCCTGTCTTTGCCTATCCTGGAACTCATTCTGTAGACTAGGCTAGCCTCAAACTCAGAAACCTGTCTGTCTCTTGCCAAGTGCTAGAATTGAAGGTGTGTACCACTGCACCTGGCTATCTTCCTATTGTAGCTTTCCTATATGACTGAATTTATGCACCATGTCACACATATTTCATATTTTGTGTGTCCATTTAACATGGGAGAATGGTGGTTTCTACTTAAATACTTTTTATGTCCATTGGTGTTTTGCTTGTATGTATGTCTGTGTGAGGGTATCTGGTCGGTGGAGTTACAGTTGTGAACTGCCATGTGAGTGCTGGGAATTGAACCTAGTCTTCTGGAAGGGGAGTTAGTGCTCTTAATCACTGAGCCATCTCTCCAGCCCCTAAATATTGTTTTTGTTTTATGTGTGTGAATGATTTGCCTGCATGTATGTCCTTGTGCCATGTGTGTGTGGTACCCGTGGTGGTCAGAAGAGAGCATCTCAGGTACCCTGGAAGTGGAATTACAAATAACAAACCACCATGAGTGGTAAGACTTGAACTCACACCCCCTGCAGGCACAGCAGGTGCTCTTCAGCACCGAGCCCCCTCTTTAGCTCCTCACCTTTTGATTACAGTGAAGGAGGCTGCTGGAAAGCTTGGCAAGTGTTGTGGATGTAGAATTTTTACTTTTTATCCTGTGGCGATAGCCATTCGGTGTAGGTGACTGCTATGAGCATGCACCTCTAGGATAGGCTTTCTGATGGTGCAGTTTTGTTTTGTTTTGTTTTCTTGAGACAGAGTCTTACTATATAGCTCAGCCTACATTTGGGCACACAATCCCCCTGCTTCTAACTGCTGAGTGTTGTCACAGGTGTACACTGCCACACCTGCTGTTCTTTCTGGGTAGCTTTTATATGAAGACTCTGACCCCCAAGCCTTGCCCACATACTGGCTGCATGGCTGGTGTAGGACAGGACTTTGGTCTTTCAATGACAAGGCCCTTGGGTGATTCTCTTTAGGAGTGAGTTGACAGGGCCTATGCTCTCCCCCTGGGCTCTAGGTAGGTTTTTCACCACCAGCCCAGCCCCAGCCTGCTTTCCCTGGTAACACCCATGCTGTCTCACTTTTTCTCTCCCAGGCTAAATATGGAGTGTGAAACTGCTCTTCTTCCCAATTTAGCATTTGAATTTAAGTGAGAACTGAATGTGGCTGGTTTGCTGACTCCCATCTGTGTGTGAGAAAGGGCTTGCAGTCTGATGGGGGAATAGACTGGGGAACAGGCACTAAGGCATGGGCTGGTGGCAACAGCAGATGTGTGGCAAGACAGGTGTGATGGGGCCTGGAGGGGACACCTGGCAGCTTGCGGGTGATGAGACAGTCAGTGCTGAGACTTGTGCACCTGTAGGAGTTGGCCCAGTGGTGTGGGAGAGTGGGCACTTGGGAAGAAGGAATGATTTGAGTTGGCATGGCTTCTGTCTGCTGAGCACAAGACACAGAGCATGGGGCAGGAGTTGGTCCAGGAGCTTCCTTGGTCTCCGATTCTCCCCTCTCCTCCTCTTCTTACCCTTCATGCTGGAGAATAAACCCAGTGAGAGTGACCTAGGCCAGAGATGCCTGATCACATGATCACTTTTGTTTTGTTTGCCTGTTTTGTTTTGTTGTTAGTCTCCTATGAGGCACTGCCTGGCATGGAACTTATGAAGACCAGGCTGGTCTGGAGCTTGCAGTGACCCTTCTGCTTCTACTTCCTGAGGGCTGGGATTACAGGTGTTTTCTACCATACCCGCACATGACCACCTTCTGCCTGGGCTACTCAGAAAGTGGACCTGGCAGGCCCAAGGTAGACATGGAATAAGAGGAGGATCTGGAGGGCATCATGGGAAATCAGTTAAGAAGGGTCTTTGCTTGTTTTAGCCAAACCATCCTTCTCAGGGGGAAGAACTAAGTTATTCTCAAATCTCTTCCTCGTATTGGTTGAGTCATGGTTTTGGTTTAGAATGGATCGGGTGGAAATCTTGGCCAAAGAAAACATTTTGTTGGCAAAATGAGAAGGCTATCTGGAGGGTCATGGCCCTGCCAGACACAGCTAAGGGATGCTGGTGTAAAACACACCATCAATATTTCAGCAACATTATTTATTGATCACTTATCTGGGACAAAAGGAGAAGGTAGCTCATCATGGATATGGGCCTGCTGGGGTGAGTTTGGGCAAGAGGTCAGAGAAAGGTAGGCCATTGATGAGGAGTCTCTATCCTGCTTGCCCCTGCAAGAATTCTTGGGGATTCGGGGGTGGGGTTTGGGGTTTTGTCCTCTTTTCCAACTCCACAATATTCTGGAATATACAGGAAAAGACTAGAAGTTAGGGAATCCTGGAGCAGGCATGAGCTGCCACTGTGGCCAGGTCCAGGGGTATAACAGCTATGGGACATCTTTCCTCACACCCCAACTCTGCCCTTCCCCTTGTCCCACCCCCCAAACCCACTTCAGTAGGTATCTCTTAGATGCTACTTTGGAAGCCCAGGTTAGGTCCCTCTTGAAGAAAGCCTGGCATTTCCCCTGCACGCAGAACTGGTCAGATTCCTTCTCAGACGGGTTCTTTCTCTGAATCTGTCTGTCCACCTTTTGTTCAGAGTAGTGGGGGTGAACATAGACTGGGCTCGAACAGAGATTATCGAATAACCCACAGCTATCCTTTCTACCCTCAAAAACGTTTTTTCCCCTTTAGTCTCTCATTCCAGGGAGCAGAGTATGAGGCATTCTGATCTCCAGGCCCTGAGCCATTGGAGAGATTGTGCTCTGCTAGCGGTTAGAATCCCACATCGGGAGCGAGCTGCGCCACCTAGTGGGCATTTCAACGTCTTGCAGGTAGAGCTTCCACAGCCGCCACCTTCAGCCCACTCTTGGATAAAAAAACCAGACAAGCCGCTGTCCAGCTCTCAGGACTGCCTTGAGATGCCCGTTCCTTCCTTAAGCCAGCCATGAGACATAGAACCGAGAGAAAGCAACTATGGCGTTTGAGAGGGAAATGATCATGCACCAGCTGAAATTTAAGTTAGTAGGAAAGCCAGTAGGAAACAGTTTTGACCCGGAAACAGTTTGTTCCTGTCATCCAGAATGCTGCAGATACAGAGACCACTGTTTAGGGCCCCAAATTCCTCTCTCCGATCTCTGTTAGCTTTCCAGTAGGCTGAGCAAGGCTGAACTCAGCTCTGCTAATCACGGCAGAGCTGGCACAGGCTAGAGGGAGCTGCTGGGTTTCCTCTGACGTCAGGGCCTGGAAATCCCATTTTAAGCAGGTTCTTGGGAGGTTGGAACAGCCACAAAAAAGGGAGGAGAAGCCAGATGAAGCAGCTTCAGGCCTGAGGTCTGGAACACAGGCCTGGAGGGTTGCCTAATATTCTCAGGAGACCTGGGCATGTGACATGGCAGTAAACCCTATCCCTAAAGCTAATAATACTTCTCAAAGGCCCCTGAGAACCCCTTGATTTAGTGCCCTCCACTTGGCTCTAACAGAGGTCTTTCCCTCTAGCCTGAGAAGATCTGCTGCAGAGGAGAGAGCCTAGGGAATGAGTGACAGTATGAGGTTGCCAGACCCAGTGTGTCCCACCGGCCAACCTCCTAAAAGGCTTTCTGGTTATTCTTTGTCACCCTCCATCTCTCCTCTCCTCCTCTGCACCACAGGGGGCAGACCCTGTGCCTAGAGTTCTGGAAGCCTGAATGTTTCCATGGCAACAGAACAAGGAACTTGGAAGTCTGAATATACTCTTTTTGACACAAAAACCCCAGATGTATTTGTAGCGAATGGCCACTCAGAATCTGGCAGTGGTCTCCTGCCCACAAGAAGTGTGTGTGTGTGTGTGTGTGTGCAAATGAAACTTACATAGAATGCCTAACTTGTTTTCCTGGCTATATGGTAAGCGCTAGCATAGTACTACAACATTTTACTTTCTGGGAATCTTCTAGAATGAGTCTCTTCCTCTCCTTTTCAATGAAAAAAAAAAGGGGGGGGCTAAATTCTTCAAGGGCTGTGCTGGCTGGTTTTTATGTCAGCTTGACATAGGCTATGTCCATCTGAGAAGAGGAAATCTTTAGGAATTGCCTCCATTAAATAGGCAAACCTGTGGTGTATGTTCTTAGTTGTTGACAGCTGTGGGAGAGCCCAGTTCCCTGTAGCCAGTGATGTTTGGCAAGGGATACAAAAGTGGACTGAGCAGCCCGTGAGGAGCAAGACATATGCAGCACCTGCCATGCCCTCTGTACCAGCTCCTCAGGGACGGAGTGTGAGCTGAGAGTTGCATGCTGAGATAAACCCTTTCCTCCCAAGTTGCTTTTGCTCATGGTGTTTATCACAGCAACGGAAACATAATTTAGGCCAACAGTGGAAGGAATGCCTTCAGAGGGCTGCTTGGCTAGAGGAATCCAGGGTGGGCAAAGGGCCCTTGCATATTTATTTATTTATTTATTTATTTATTTATTTATTTATTTATTTTTGAGACAGGGTTTCTCTGTGTAGTCCTGGCTGTCCTGGAACTCACTCTGTAGACCAGGCTAGCCTCGAACTCTCGAACTCAGAAATCCACCTGCCTCTGCCTCCCAAGTGCTGGGATTAAAGGTGTGCGCCACCACCGCCCGGCGCATCTGGCCCTTTTCTATCCCTTTACGGCTAGGTCTCTCTTCCCAGTGGCCTCCCTCCCATTTACTGGCGTGGTGGGTCACGAACAACACAGAGGCCACAATAAAGGAACTGTCAGAGTTTCGTTTATTGGCTCACCCAGTGCCAAGGTCCAGTGGGAACCGTGGAACTGGGAGCCTCTCAGCTCCTGCATTTCCTTCCCTTCACAGGTTCCGCCTGGCCCCAATGAGGCTGCCAGAACCCGGGCCAGGGGTGGGATCCAGGTTGGTTCTGACAGGGGAGGTTGCTTGGCACAGGAAGAGGACCCCATGGCAAGGTACAATGGGTCCCCTTTATAGGAGAGGAAAGGAGCCAGCTTGGCAGGGCCTCTGCGGTGTAGCCTAGGAGTAGAGGAGTCCAGCCTACTGCATGAATGTATAAAAGGGATCAAGGGTGGAAGGGGAGGGAGGGGTCCCTCGGAGCCTTGTTCTGTCAAGGGCTTGAGTCCTGAGGTTCAGAGACCAGCAGGGGAGGATAAAGAGGAAGAAAGACCAGGGCTGACGTAGGGAGGAGATGACCACTTCACCCAGCCTCCCCAGCACACACACCCTTGGGTCTCACCTCTTTTTTTGGTAGAATACACAGCCCTACTAGCCACAGTTCTGGCTTGGCCATGCCGCTTTTGAAAGCCCGTGTCTCCGCGCATGGTTGTGCCCGAGGAACACCCTCCTCCCAGGTCTGCCCTGTTTCTTCCCCTTCTCAAGGTCCCCTCCCTGGAGGGGGGAGCCGGCAGGTCAGGCCTCAGAGAAGGGATGGCCATGGTCAGCAAGGCACTGGACGGGCAGGGTGGGACTGGAGCAGCAAGAAGAGCAGCGCTGGCCGCGGAGCCGCCACCTCCACAAGGGCGTAGTCATCACATCCGCCCTCAACCTCCTCTTTGCCAAGCCCCCTCTGGAGGAGTATTCATGGGAAGGGGGTATTGGAAACAACCATCTAGGGGGTTTGCGGGTCTGAAACACCTGGGGCTAGTGACCCACTGTCTGAGGGGCCAAGGCTGCAGCTCTTCTCGGTGCTTGCTATGTCCTACAGATGGAGGGACGGGGGAGCTGATCCTCTCAAGCCGAGTCGCCCCCTCCAGAACTCTTCTTCTTGGGCCGGGTCTTCAGCGTCTTGGAAGTCAGTGGCTAGGCAGAGAGGACGATGGGCTCAGCTTGTTCCCACTGTCTCTTCCCGTCTCCCCAAGACCACGGCCTGTATCCTCACCTCAGCCTTGGGTACTTTTTTGATAGGCTTGGTCCTCTTGGGTGCCTTGTCTCCCAGGTCATCTTCTGAGGTCTCTGTCCGGGGATCTGGCTGGCTTGTGCTAGGCCTTAGACTCAGGGCAGGCTCATCTCCTGGTTTCAGGGGAGGAAAAGAGAATGAGGGCCCAGAGGTCTCTCTGGTCTTTTTAGCTCTAGCCTCCTTCCCACAGCCCAGGGCCTGCCAGTACCTAAGTCCTCGATAGTGTCCAGGAGACCCACAGGGCCGGGTGGGAGGCGGCCATCCGGCCCCTGAAGTGGTAATGCATCCTCATCTCGGATGAGAGTCAGGTCCTGCATGCTGAAGCTCCGGAGCTTTTCCGACAGAACCCCCTGGCCCTAGGGTCACCACCACGCACCAAGAGAGCAGGAGGAAGGGGCGGGGTGGAGACAGAGGTTACTGTGGTGCTGGGATATTTTCCCTTTGGTCAGATGAGGAAACTGACCAGACAGAAGAAAGAGGGCTGGAACCTGCAGCTACACAGCCTAAAGTCTCCAAGGTCTAAGGGTAGGGTGGCTGCCAAGGGGCCTGGGCAGGACACAAGATGAACACGGTGGCCCCGGGAGTCTGGGTCCCCGCATCTCACCTTGGCAGCAGCCGTGACTGCAGCATTGGCAGCCAGGTTCAGGCCCCTCTTGCCCACCCTCATCATGGTCTCATAGCTCTTCTCTCGGGCTTGTGTGATGTATTCATCGATCTCCTAGGGGGACGAGAGACCTGAGAGGTGAGGCTGCAGGCAAGTGACGTTTGCTCACAACTGTGCGAAGGCACTGCCCGCCCCAGGGAGCTAGGCTCTGCCGGGTTACCATAGTCTCTGGTCACCCACAGGAAATATTTGTAGCTGGAGGCATGGGGATGTCTCAGATGGGCCAGGCAGGGAAGGGCTGAAGGCAGGGGCAAACCTTTTCCTTGTTGGACAGTGTTGGATGCACGAACTTGCGGTACAGGACGCTGGAGCCCTTGGTGTAAGGGGACAACAGCCATATCACAAAGGCAATCTTGAGCTCAAAGTAGAAGGGGAACCTGTTGGGCGGACAGAGGTGTGCTCAGAGCACGAGGGAGGAGGAATACACTGGATTTAGCATCATGAAACCTGGACAACTCCCACTTCTTAAGTGGTCTGAGACCCTGTGGTTTTCAGGTGGACAGGGTTAGGGGTTGGGAACGCTAAACCGAGACTCACATGGAAGATAAGCAGAGACCCACCCCATTCAGTATGGGAGACTGATCACAAATTTGTGCCCACTCTAGGCTACCTGATACCTTATCTCAAAATAGACCACAAAACCAAAGGCCAAGCATAGGGACACATCCTCCCTGAATCTTAGGCGGCTGGGAAGTAGAGGCAGGAGGATCAGGAGTTCAGGGTCATCTTCAGCTACATGAGTTCAGGGCCAGCCTGCAGAGCACAAGACACTGTTTTAAAAAACAAAGCAAAAGGAGACCCCCTGAGGAATTCCAACAAGGAGCTCTCCTTCCCAGACTAAGTCCCAGCACCTCTTCCTTCCAACGCCTCCATGCCGAGATCCAAATCCAAGGAAGCCTCCCTATCTTCCGGGTTCCTGCCCTCCCTCCATGAGAAGAACCAAGATGGAGTCTGGGTCTGGATCCTGCTGCCAAAATGCCCCTCAGTCCCCCCCCCCCAGTATTGGTCCCAGACATGCCTGGCAAGCTTGTTGCCATTGAGTTATCCCTGGCGTTTTGACGTTTTATTTTTCACGAGGTTGACTAGGCGGGTCTTGGATTTGTAATCTTCCTCCCTCAGTCAGGTGGGTGTGTTACTACTGTGCACAACCCATGGGCATAAACTATCATACTTGGTTTGTGTATGTGTGTGTGTTCATGCGTGTGCATGTGGGTGTGCATGTATGTGTGCGTGTGTGCGTAAGTGTGGAGGCCAGAGGTCATCCCTGGGTATTCTTGTCTCTCTGGCCTGGAGCTATCCCCCTAGTGAGCCAGCGCCTCTACTTCCCACCAATGGGCTCACAAGCTGGGAACTGAAGCCAGGGCCTCAAGTTCACTCACCAAGCGTTTAACTCACCAAGCCATCTCACTGGGCCTTTGATATTTTTTAATTAAAATTTTTTCTTGAAACCAGTCATGGTGGCTCATGACTTTAGTACTGTTGTTTGGAAAGCAGAGGCAGGTGGATCTGAGTTCCAGGACAGCCAGGGCTATACAGAAAACCTCTGTATTTTTTTTCCCCCTTGAGATGTAGTTTGTGTTGTTCTCCAGGGGTCTCCTGGAGTCACGTGACTGCCCTGCTTCCTCTCTCCATTTCCCACAGGCTGTACTGCTCACTCGGGCCACACCTTCCTTATCTTCCACATCCTCACAAAGCCCTCATCAAAGGCCCCTCCTTCACCTGTACCCAGGGAATCTAGACTTATCTACCCCATCAGCTGGCAAACACGAGAGAGCTTTATCTCCAAGTAAAATGATACTTTGTCTCCCAATGTTTACGTTCTTTTATCTCTCATTTACAAAATGTTTTTTGAAGTCATGGACAATTTTACTGGAGCTTTAATGAAAAACAAAGACAAATGAACAATTCCAGGGTAGGCAAGCTTTAAACTCAGCAGATTCCCTGAAGAAAAGCCTGGGAGAGAGAAGGAAGAAAGCCAGGCCATGTAAGCCAGTATGGAGGGCAGACACATGACTCACATGCTGTCACAAGGTGGAGAAAGAGTAAGAAAACCGAAAATGTTGGGGAAGCCCTAAGTGTTAAGGAAAGTATGTTTGGAAAAGAGATGACTCGGTGGTTAAGAGCACTGGCTGCTTTTGCAGAGGACCTAGGTTCAGTTCCCAGCACCCACATGATAGCTCACACCTCTAACTGCAGCCCCAGGGGATCTGATAGCTTCTTCTGGCACCAGGCACACAGCTGGTGCAGTCATACATACAGGCAAAACATCTGTGAATAGGAAATAAGGGTTTGTTTGGTTTTTTTTTTTTTTTATTGGATGTTTTATTTACATTTCATATGTTGTCCCCTTATCCCATCCCCCACCCACCCTGTTTGGTTTTTTAAAAAGAAACATTTGGGTTGTGGTGCAGGTGCAGTGTACTCCTGTAATTCTGAGGCAGGAGGATGATTTTAAGGCCAACGTGGGCCATGTAATGGGTTCCATGCTAACTCAGCCAGGGATACATAGTGAAACTCTATCTGAAAAAGGGGGGGGGGGGGGGGGAGAGATATGTGTGTGTGTGTACATGTGTGTGTGTGTGCATGTGTGTGTTGGGTGCAGGCACATGCCACAGTTCGTCTGTGGGAGTCTGAAAAGACAGTATCTGGAGCTGACTCCCTCCTTCCTCTCACAGGGCTTTCAGGGGTCAAACCCAGGTCAGCCATCTTTGAGCAGATGCAGCAAGAGCTTTGTTGATGAACCACCATGCTGCCCCCTGCCCTGAGATTATGTAGCCCAAGCTGGCCTCAAAACTTCAAAACTGCAATGATACTAGGGCTGGGATTATGAGTGAATCAAATTCCAATATACTTTACTCTTTTTTTTGTTTGTTTGTTTTGTTTTGTTTTTCGAGACAGGGTTTCTCTGTGTATCTCTCTGGCTGTCCTGGAACTCACTCTGTAGACCAGGCTGGCCTCAAACTCAGAAATCCTCCTGCCTCTGCCTCCTAAGTGCTGGGATTATAGGTATAAGCCACTACTGCCCGGCCATACTTTACTCTTTAAGAGGTATTTGCTCACCTAGGAAACATTTCTGAGCAGATTCAGACATATTCCCATCCCTGTAATGCTCATATCCTTTAGGCCTATTTGTCCCTGCAATACCTCGGAAATACAAGCATTCAGTGTCAACACAATTGAACTGCATGTTTGTTCCATAAACGGGGGAGAGAAGGTTTGGGGACTGGGGATCGGTCTACTGTCACAGTAGAGCAGATGCACACTCATTCACTCAGTTCCCCTGTGGTGCTGTGGCTGTCACCAGAAAGAAATGTGGCAGTTTTGTTTGAAGTAGGATAGCCCCAGCTGTTCTGGAACTCGCTATGCAGATCTGCCTGCCTTTGCCTCCCAGGTGCTGGGCTTAAAGGAGTGGGCCATCATGCCTTGTTTGCTATGTCTGTTCTTACGGTGCTGGCACCAGGTGTGAAGAGCCATATTAAGGCTGCTAAGGGACTGTTGGGAGTTGGGGGTGACCCTAGCCTGAGTCCAAATCTTCTGCCTATCTGTCTGGCTAGAGAAAGGAAGAGATCTGGGTCCTGAGATGCAAGGAGGGGCCACTGGACCTCACCAGGACAGTATTATATCCGTAAGCGTCTCAGCTGTGGTGAAGAAGGCGAAGACTATCCAGTACATCATCCATTTTACCTGAGGGACAAAGGGCAGCATTAAATGGGGCTTAGGGCTGAGGAGCTGTAAACACCCAAAGTTCCTGGCCTGTCAGCTCCTCATACTGGATTAAGTTGAGGAAAATAGGACCCCATAGCACTGTCTGTGCGATACTAGAAGTCCTGGGAGAGAGATACCCAAGACCTCACACTTGTACACTTGCCAATCATGTCAAGCCATGACAAGGGGATAGGGAACATCTCAGAACCTCTTTTGCCCAGGTCTTGTTGGATAGTGTGGCATAGCCACTCTACTCCCATCTGTAACACACACACACACACACACACTCACCCCTTACACATTTGTTACACAGCGTTAAGGTATGCACTCACATATTCCTTCACGTTTTTTGTCTTCACGGCCTTGTAGGAAGAATAGGCTGGGTACAGGGTGCCAAAGATGAGCCTAGCATGGAAGCAGCATGGTCAGCGGGCCATCCTTCCTCCCGGCTCTGACCCGTCCCCTGGGTGCTAAGGAGCAAAGGGATGGATCTCCAAAGCACCAGTTGTCTGAGGAGCTCTGGTCAAGGATTAAAGTCAAAGCCATTGGAGAGACACACATGTGGGGGTGGGACCCTCTCCCAGTCCAGAGTTCATTCCTTTAGCCCTTGACATGGAAGACCCAGAGGCGGGAGGCTCCAGTGGTCCTTCCAGTCAGGAACCTTGACTTGTATACAGGCGTGTCATGGGAGCTGAGGGGCTGGTCACTGCCAGGAGATGTCTTCCTTCTTGGCCTAATGCCTATTTAACTCACCCCCTCATACTCTCCCTCTCCTTGTCTCGAGACAGGCTGGGTAGGGCCAGGTCCCCAAGGGACCTAACATCACCAAACAGGGCACCCAACCTGTCAAAGAACTATTGTGGTCCTGGGCCTAGAGGGCGCCGGTGCGGGAGGCACCAAAAACTTATAACCCCAATACCAGCATGGCCCAGGGTCAGGTACAGAAGACCTGGGCTTAAGACTCTACCTGAACATCCCTCTACAGATTACAGAAAGGACACAGGTGAGGGAGAAAGAGTCATGTATCCCATAGGGAGTTTGCCCAGGCCAGAAAGAAAAGTAGCCACCCTTGAACGCTAGCTACATGGAGAGATAAGGCCTGTAGGGGCTGGGAAGAGGAAACCTCAGTGGGTTGAGAGGAAACCAGGACACAAGCATGTGACAACGCTCAATGGGAAGAAGGGTGGGGCTGCTGGGATGACAGTCCTGATAGAGGCCGAGGGGCAGAGCCCTAAAGTAGAGGAAGGGTTGGCTCTGAATCCAGCACCTTCAAGTGTAGGTGATGCCTTGCCGAGGTAGGGAGGGCACTCTCTGCCTGTGCTGATGCTGGAAAGCAGGGCCGGATCCACAAGGCCAAATCTAGGCGTGTGTGTTTGTGGGAGGGAGGTATTTGTTCCTGTATCTGGGGGAGGTGCCAGGGCCATAGCTCCACAATGTAACTGTTACAATGTGCCTGGAATCAAGGCCACCAAATGTTCTCCCAGTGGCTTTCGCAGTCCCAGGGAGATTGCATCCATTCAGTTACCTCTCGACTTTTGTCTTCCATGCCCAGCCTGGATGCCTTAGGACAGGTGTCCTCATCCTACCACTAGTCAGAATCAAGAGGAAGGCCTGAGAGCTTTGGAGAGGCCCTAGGGAATGGTCCGTGGATCTGAGGTCCGGAATGATGAGGCCCCTGTCATACTCCCCTCTTAATCTCTTCCTGGAGGGAAAGGATGGTCTTCTATGCTCCTCTCCAGTCTAGATCTGCTCTGTGGGGGAGGGGATACGCCCGCCTCCCCTTATAAATCAGTAGCTCCTCAGCCTCTAGGATGGGGGAGGGCACAGGAGCAAGGCAATTAAGAATAAACTGGTTTTAAAAATAATATGGGTGAGGTCCCTGGGAAACCAGGCCTGTCATGCTCTCCTTCCAGTCTTTGGTCCCACATCTCTATGTCTGGGGACACCACTTAGGGATCCTAGGTTGAACCATCCCAGGCTTGAATACCGCGCCCTCCACCACCGACCCCCTCATCCCCCACCCGGGCGAACCCCGCCGCAGCCTCTGCACTCACACCACCAGGCGAGAGATGATCCAGGACACCATGGCGGGGCGGGGACCCAGCCCGGGTGAGGATGCAGCTGCCCGAGGCCGGCGGCTGAGGCAGCAGGAGCTGCTGTTAGCAGCGGCAGCCGCCGTGGGGTCAGCGGAGCGCGGAGTTGCCGCCGTTAAAGGGGAGGTCCCTGCCGCATCGGCGGGCCGTGGGCGGCGGCGCCTCTTAAAGGGGAGGCCGCGGTGTCGGCGCGCCCCCCCAGCACCTGCTGTGCCTGGGCATGCGCCTTCGCCCTCCGTGCCCAGCCTTCCTCTAAATCGCTTGTTCACGTTCCTTGAGCTTCAAGCTGGATGGCAGGGTTCCTTTTTGGTTCCATCCTTTGACATCAGCTTCGGGCCAACCCCCGCCCTGCCCACATCAGGTTGAAGGTTAAATATCCCATGAGGAGTGAGGGCTGCTTTGTTGCTTGACTGTGAGCCAGGCCCTGTGCTCAAGAGCAGCGCTTGTTTCATTGAATCCTCACAACTAGCCTAAGGTAGAAGTTATAATTATCTTCATCCTGAAGATGGGGTTTATTTATTGGTTTCATTACTATGCTGATGGCCACAAAACCACTAAACCATACTTATTAGGTTACATCTTCCAAACACTGTCAAATTTTCCTCCTCATTATAGGCTTCTTAAAGACGTCCACCTGCACTCTCGAGGCCAGGCTCGGCTGCACCTGTCCACTACAGTTCTCATCAAGAACTGCCAATTCCCAGTTTAACGGGATGGTTTGATCCGACTTTTGGTGGTAAATTGTGTGTGCGTGTGTGTAGTTTAGAGAGATGTGAAGTTTAATATGGGGGAGGGGGGAATAGGAGACAGGAGTGGGTCTCAAGTCAGTTAAAAAGTCCAGAGACCTCAGTTCCACCCCCATCAGCAAGTACCACTGGTAGTGGATGTCCTAATTCTGAAGACATTTATATCCAGAATGTAGGCTAGCCTGCCTCCTGATTTTCACCAAAGCAGCCACATTCCAAAGCATCCCTCCTCCACTGTCCTCCTTCCCTGTCCCATTTTAAAGCTGCTGTATTCTGGGCCTTTATGTTGAGGTATAATCCATTTGGTGACCACACTGTTAACCTGTTCCACCCAGGCTGAAAGGACATGCTCACAACTCTGTATTTCAAAGAGTTATGACAGTATTCAAACCTAGCATCCTTGAAAAACACAAATGGTCTATTTCTAGCCTGGTAATTATGCTTCCAGGTTCAAATGCTTTGGAAGGTGTTTTCGAACATTTCAGAGAAGCACACCTCTATGACCCCTCCTGCTTTTCTTTTCAATTTCCTTCCCAAAAGGCCTCTTTAAATCAGAATGCAGTCTGTCCTTACCCACCAAGAACACTTTAGTTTTGCTTAATAAATAAAACTCCAATTGGGTCTTTCCATCATTTCTAAGGCCACCTAAGGCCACACACTTTAAGGCAGGTAACTGCACGTCTCACAGCCGTGCCTGAAGCTTTGTCCAGGCTGCACATGAAGGCAGTTCTCTTGCATCCTGCACCCCAGGAGGACTCCACTTACTCCATTTTGTTCACTGAGCATCAAGTGTGGGAAAACCCCTCTATCCACTCGCAGGCTTATGTGGTTCCCTCCTACTGTCTTTTTCCCAACTGAGCACAATTGAAACAGCAAAGACCAGAGACCAGATGCAGAGCAGTAGACAAACCCAAAATCAACCCCCGTCTCCATGCCCAGTGTGGTCTTGACTTTAGAAAGGCTGGTACAGAAAGAATTTTGTCTACTCCAAATAGATTTGTTAGATTTTTAATAAGAACATGGAAATCCCAATCAGCCCTTCAATAAAATTAAAATACAGAAAGTGAAATTAAAAGTATTCTACAATAAATGACTTTTATTTAAAAAAAAAAGAAAGAAAGAAAGTAACTGTGAACATATAAACAAGGCTGCAGGGCAGTACACCTGGAAAGAGACAGTTCCCAATGTACCTGTGGGCCAATGAATTCCATCATTTCCAAGTAAATTCTTAATAAAAACTCCACTGAGTTGGAAAGTTTTGCTGAAAATACTCTAGACAAAACTCCAAAACACAAAAGTAAAACTTCTTTATGTTGGAAATCAAACTTTCCATCCCACTTGGACACATGAGGTGTCCCAGGGAACGCTGGTAATTGGTGACACAGGGACACTCCTGGGGGCAGCAGTGCGTGCAGGGGACACTCCGAAGCTGAGACACAATGCAGTTCTTTCTCAGATGACTGCTCCCTCAAGATAAGACTGAGAAGGATGGGGAGAAACTAAAAGAATTCTAATAAAAAGCCAATTCTTTTAAGTTACACTTTGGCTGATTTTGTGCTATAAGGGGCAGCTGATTTCTAAAAATCATATTTCTTCTCAAAGAGTCTTATTGAAAGGAAGACTAAATGTAATGCGCCTTTCCTCACAGTCCAGGAAAACAACTGTGTTATTTCAAAAGTTCTAAAAATATCTACTTTCATGAAATAGTAACTATTTCACTACAAACCTATTTTTCACTAAATACACATGTTTTCTAATCCTGAAGCCTCCTGGGAAAAGCAGTGGGCTCTCCCTGGGTTCTGAAGACTCCAGTGTTCATGGAGAGTACGGGAAGGGCTACACCCCCATCTCCTAGGATGAGCCAGGTCAGAGGTCATGTCGGAGACACTGCCAGGCTTCTGCCAGGCACATGAAGTCACCACCTTACTTTACCAGTTATGACTTCCTCTGCCTCCAAAACATTCCTAGTTAGCTAGGCACAAGAGGAACAGAAAAGGAAGGTGTGCCCACATTCCTGGTTTCCATGATCTCAAACCAGGAGACTGTGAGGAGGACCCAGCGATGTTCAAGCAACCTGGATTCCCAAAAGGCCACTGGATGGGAATGTGGCACCCTCGGCTTTGAGTTTGAAACGGTGTGTGAGAACAGTGCGACTTTCTTGTGTCAACCTTCAGTGTTGAGGCAGCATAGAAAGAGTGGCTGGAGAGTTTGTAATACTGACCACACTGGCCTGGGGAAGGGCCTCTGCTCCTGCAGAGAGCCCTGCCGTTCCCTGCTAAGTGTTGTGAAAGGCCTGCTTGACAGGAGAGCTGGATATTCCCCATGCTTTAAGACCTTGCCAGTTTGGACTCGTGGGCCTTGAGAGTGCCAACAGCATCCTTCACTGCGTGGTATATGATGTTCTTCACCTGGAGAGCAATCAGCACTGTCAGTTCACGGCAGTTCACAGATGCACATCTAATAAGCAGATGCAACAAGCTTATTGAAAAGCCACTGGGGGACACGGCAGCGGCAGTCACTGTGTGCTTCCTAAATCAACCCCACAATGAATTACCAGTCATGCAGGATGTGAAGTCCTCATGAAAGAATGGTGAAATCACTGGGAGAGCTACACAGCCATCATCACCCCTGTGCTCACTAGGTGCTGGCTAGTGTTACTAAGGTATTATGTGGGGCATTAGTTCATCTTTGCCACGATCCTACGAAGTGTATTTTATCATGAGTTTTGTTTACAGATGAGACCCTCAGAAAATCAAGTTCCTGGGAACTGAAGCTGGGCACAGTGGCACATGTCTTTAATCCCAATGGCTGATGCCAACTTGAATAGACTATCTAAAAGATCCTTGCCCAAGACCTCATAGTAATAACCAGTAGGCTTGGGCGGCTGAGTAATGGGCTTTCTTCCTACTGTGTGAAGGTTAGCTCTCTTCCATCTTCTGGGTTCCAGGGATTAGACCCATCTTGCCAGCTCCTACTCCCCGCTTTTAGAAACAGGGTCTTACTACTTAGCCAAGGCTGGCCTCTGACCTCTCTATGATCCTTCTGATTTAGTTTCTCAAGAATGTGCCACCAGGTCCAGAGTTTATGTGTTTTTTTCTAATTACCTAAAAGAAACATATTTTACATATGATGTTGGAAGTCATTAAAATAAGGTGACAGGCTAAAGATACCTTTTAAAAAGACTGATCAGACTTTTCTTTTTTTTTCTTTTCTTTTTTTTTGGTTTTTCGAGACAGGGTTTCTCTGTGTAGCCCTGGCTGTCCTGGAACTCACTCTGTAGACCAGGCTGGCCTCAAACTCAGAAATCCACCTGCCTCTGCCTCCCAAGTGCTGGGATTAAAGGCGTGCACCACTACCACCTGGCCCAGAAGACTTTTCTAGGGAGGGGAAGAGAGGTAGGACAAAAAGGAAGGGCACTGGTGCCTTAACAATGCTGCTGTTAAAGCACACTATGCACCATCAAATCTGTGCTAGGGAAAGCTGTCAGTGAGACAAAGCTTAGTTAAGCTTACATTTTAGCAGGGCATCAATAAACAAGTCAAGGACTACAGCATGTCAGAGGGTGAAGTCAGTACAGAAAAGAAGAAGGGGCCGATGGGACCTGGAGCATCAGCAGAGGTGATGCTGACGCTGCTATCATGTTGTTTTACAATTACATTTACGTATGTGCATGTGTACACTGAGTGCCACAGGGCACATGCAGTGGTCAGAAGACAGCCTCTGGGAGCCGGCTCCCTCCTTTACCACTTGGGTCCCAGGAATTGGACTCACGTCATTAGGCCTGGCAACAAGTGCCAATACTTGCTGAGCCATCTTGCTGACTCTCCAGTGCTATTATTTTATTTATTTATTACTTTTTAAGATTCTTATTTTAGCCGGGCAGTGGTGGCGCATGCCTTTAATCCCAGCACTTGGGAGGCAGAGGCAGGTGGATTTCTGAGTTCGAGAGTTTGAGGCCAGCCTGGTCTACACAGTGAGTTCCAGGACAGGACAGCCCAGGCTATACAGAGAAACCCTGTCTCGAAAAACCAAAAAAAAAAAAAAAAAAAAAAGGATTCTTATTTTATTGTATTGTATGTCTGCATGTTTGCCATACTTGCAGAGGCCAGGGGAGGGCACCAAATCTCCTGGAACCGTAGTTACATGCAGTTGTGAACTCTGGTAACCAAACCCAGGTTCTTTGCGACAACAGCATGTTATTTTTTTGCTGCTGTTGTTTTTCGAGACAGGGTTTCTCTGTGTAGCCCTGGCTGCCTTGGAACTCACTCTATAGACCAGGCTGGCCTCGAACTCAGAAATCCGCCTGCTTCTGCCTCCCAAGTGCTGGGATTAAAGGCGTGCGCCACCACCATGCCCGGATAGCATGAGTTCTTAAGCTCTGAGCCATCTCTGCAGCTCCAGACACTATAAACTAA